AGCGGGGAGGGGCGAGGGAGGAGGAGGGAGGAGGGGACGGGTAAATGCATACACAAAGAGTGCAATGCGCACCACCCGAAGAAGGATGGACATATTTGAAACTCGGACTTGGGGGGGGCAAGGGCAACATACGTAACCTAAACATCTGTACCCCCATAATATGCTGAAATAAAAAAAAAGATATTAATATTTGCTTGTTTTGGAGATTAACAGTAGTTTCTTATTGTTGATTTAATACATGTTTCTTCGATTGCTAGTGAAGAGTAAACTTTTCCCCAAGGTATTTCATCTCTTTGTGTTTGGTCTTGTGAAAATTGTTCAGGGGCTTTGCCCTTCTGCCTATTAAGGTCTTATTGATTTTCCTTGTTGATTTGTAAAAGTTCCTTTTAAAGAATTCCCTATATAGAAAGGATATTGACTGTTTTTAAAAAAATTTTTGCTTTCTTTTATTTTAACTTATAATTTAGCCTATCTTTTTTGTACACATAGAAATACCGCATTTTAGAATGTCCTGCTGTAATTCCTGTTGCGACTTCTTCCACTACTGTTTTATGCATAGGAAGTTCTCTCCCTCTGGAGAGGTTTGGTAAATATTCGTTAATATTTTCATCAACTATCCATCACTTTATAGACATTGGACTGGTCAAGTATTACTCTACTAGCTTTTCCCTCTATTATCTTACAAATATATTTTGAACAAAAGAATTAAGCTCATTTAAAAAAAGTTCCAGCATTGAATTTTCAGAGTGGTCCTTTAATCCCCGGTTGTTGACAGGTTGTATTCTGTCTGCATCTTCACGGGAGAATCTAGGTCGTCGTAATCCATCGGCAGCAGGAGGGGCATGTTCTGCTGCAAACCCTACTTCTAGGGCTTTTCCCAGAAGAGAAAATGGTCTTAAATATACCCTAGGTTTGTTGTATATTCTGGGTTTGTTTTACAAGGAATTGGTTCATTGCATCATTAGCTCACCTTCAGCTAAATCGGTGTAGCAGGATCTGAAATGTGAAATGTTGAGAATCTCCACTTACCTTTGATGAACTCGAAACATTTCCACCCCGGAATTGAGGCCTTTTCTGCTGCTTCTGGAAAAGAGCTCGTATTGCTGATGTGCTGGCAGGTGGCTCTGTGTCTTTTTGCGGGGGTGGGGTGCTGTAGGTGGAGGGGAGGGGCTTCTGCTTTTTAAGAACTATTTTATCACGAAAAAACGCTTTCTTTCTCCTCCAGCAAGTCCAGCAGCGCCTGCTGGGGGCCACCACACGGTTTTAGGATTGGAGGCCAGGGATTTCTTGGCAATGGCATGAAAAAGGTGGTGAAAGTTAGGCAGCAGCTTCCAGGTTTGAAGCTCAATTACTGAAGCTGCATCTTAGAGTCGGTCCAAGATCTTAGACTAGAGCCGTTAGAATGCCTGGTTTGGAGAAGTCTGGGATTCGCTTCTCTTTGGGATCTTGCATCTCTGACAAAAATCTTACAGATTCCTTTTTCCTCTTGTCGAACCTTCCCGGGGAACCACGGCCAGTGCGCCTCGCCACTGCCGCCACCAGGGGGAGCCATGCTCGCTTCCTCCTTTCTCCTACCTCAAGATGCTGACGTTCTCCTTTCGGCCCCCAGGCGGCGCCCGAGACTCCGTCGCAGAAGGTGAGGAGCCTTTCTACGTTCAGGGATGGAAATAGCGTCCCCTCCTCATACCAAACTGTCCCTCCCTCTTCATTTGCACTGCTCACTCTTTACCCCTTACCATGTCCGTACTCCCATTTGTCTGTAAATTGGAGAACAGAAAAATTTAAAATAGATTTTTCTAATATGAAACACCTTTTTTTGCGAAATATTTAGGATTCTAAGGGGAAAGTAATTTTACACCTCTGGAAGGTACCATGTTTGCATTAGAAAGGAGCTTTTCTATTGAGGATCCTAAAGCTGTCAACAAACCTCTTTGACCCTCAGACCTGAATTGAAAGTGTGTAAATGCTTTCAGAAAATCTGAGGGCTGAGAGGTAGAGGCTCAGCTCCCTCCTGGCCGTCTGTAGAAGCCTCACAGGGGATATCTGGGGCACGAGAAGAAAAGCACCTTCCAAATAGGCTGTTTTGCTTTGCTTGGTGATAGCAAGGACAGTAGTTCTGCGAATGAGGGATTCCACTGTGCAGGAAGCTATTCAACAGTAAGAATGGCCACTATCATTATATGTGACATAGAATCCGGGGGAGAACTCAACATAGAGTTCTTTAAAAGGACATTGTATATTAACGTAACCCCTGCTCAGTGGTGGAAATCTAACGTCAACTTCTCGCTCCATTTCTGATGACAAAACCCTTAGGAAAGATAAGATATTGGAAGTTCAGACTGTCAGTTTATTTTACCTCTAGCTCTATACTAAAATCTTTTCAGAGGAGCTAACTGGCTGTAAATGCAGGGACTTAGTTTAAACTAGAAGAGAAAAGCGCTATGTTAGTAAAATTCCCGAAGACCTGCTTACCAATGGACTAAGACAGGAAGGAGGGAATTCTGATTCACTCTGCCACCACGACTGCAGTGGCAGGTCTCACCTCTCTGCCAGGCAGTGCTTTGGCACGAGCTCCTGATTCAGAGACTCAGAGCGAGGAAGACTGAGGAGGCAGTTCTTCTCATAGAGAGGCTCAGAACTGAGCCAGTCCTTGGCTGTAGACAAGTAAAAGCTTTCAGAGTTTGCTGGTTCCAAGCTTTTTGCTGTTAACTGAAATTTAAAGGACAAGTAAAGAATTCACGAGAGACTTGGGGAAGCTTCTGTGATTAGTGTCCTCATAAATACGTATTTGATGTTGAATGACATGGGGTTCTGGGAGTTAGGAGAATGTTGTTTGTGTCTTAGTTCTGGCACTGACCAGAGAGTCCCTCTACCCCCTTGGGACTGGGTTTCCTTCTCTGTGAAGAGAGGGGAGCCCTGTGCTTCCACATGGGAGACAACAAGAATCAGCCCACCAACATGTTTTCCTCTCTCCTTCGACTGCCAGGAAACTCAAGAGCCAAATTCAAAGCTTTATTGAAGGAACTCTGCAGGACCCGTGACTTGATATCTTGACACCATTTTCCTTCCTGGTTTTGACCTTCTGTTCCAGCTTTTGGTTCCCCTGGAACTTAGCATTTCATCATTTTTCATATTAATATGTTGGTGTACAGATTTTTTTTTACACTGGACCTCGAATCCTTTGTGTACGGAGCATTGTAAACTGAGGAGGTCACACCAGATTAGTTTCAAGGGCCCTTCCAGTACTGATGTTCTGGGATTCTAAGGAAAAGCAATTTTACGTGTCTGGAAGGTACCAGGTTTGCATAGCAGGGAACTGTCCCATCGAGAAGCCCAAGATTTCAGCAAATGACCAAGGAGGCCTGGCCAGGATGTTCTCCTACATCACTGGGAAGTATCTTTAATGGAGCCAGCACTTTGTCCTAGTTTAGGGAAGCTAGCTTTTCTACTGGGATTTTAAGACTTGCCCAGTGTGAAATTGGCGGAGAAATACCTGTCTGGGGTAGCTATATCAAGAACTCTATGTAGTTTTGATGTGGGTGGTCTCCAGCCACACTTGGCTCTAAGAAAGTCTGAGGGAAAGTGTTTGTGCGTTTTGAGGGGAGGACGGGCAAAGGACCGTTGATCTATTTCATCTTGAATTTTGCCATGCGAGCTGATGTTACTCCTCACCATAGCCTCTGAGGTGCGTATTGATGTGCCCACCATTTTGCAGATGAGAAAACGGAGGCTTGGGCAGGAGGTAAGTTGCCCTGGGTTCGGTGTTGAAGGAAAGGTGAAGCCCAGCACAGGCCCAGGTCTGCTGGATTCTGAGCTCACCTTCTTACCCACAACCCTGGACCACCCCGCAGCTCCGTCAACAGCTGGTCTGGCCTGTGAGGAAGCAAACCTGGTGTCTCCTGGCTGCCAGTGCCATCCCTACGCTGGGACCCAAATTTTCAGCTTGACTCTGGTCCTCTTGCCTTCTGTCCCTCACCAGAGCCCCAACATCTGGTGACAGAAACCAGCATAGCTTACTTCTACAGTCACCGGGGCCCAGCAATCTAGATCTCTGGCTATAGGGAAATACTTAGTTGACTATGAGTTATCTAGGTCAAAGCGAGCAGTTTGCTTGATTTAACTAGGTAATTGGCACCATATTTTTCTCTTTGGGAAGGCCTGGACTAACAATAACTTTTGCTAAGCATTTTTGCTTTTTTGAATTTGCAAGTGCTTTTTTTTTTCCGGTGGGGGCGCGGGCGGCTGTCTTTGGCTACCTGTCTTTGGCTACCTGTCTGTTGAGAATTTATCTGTTTTCTTTATAGTCCATCTATCTGGGTTGATGTGCTTTGTCCCATTTGGGAATAAGAAATTTCATTTTAATGTGAAAAGATGATGATGTTGAGTGGCCAACAAATGTCAAGTTTGAAGAGCTCAAATGAAAAAAGAAAGTATGGTAGAACCACAAAGTTGGGATTTGAGGGAGCCCAGTAAATAGCGCTGCTCTTTTCTGCTCTGGTTTTGAACCAATGGAGAAATAAGGCAAAAGAATAAGACACATGGAGATGACAGTATCCCTTTCCTTATAGATAGAGTGGATCCTGGAGAATGGGGGTGACGAATCACTAAGCGGGGTTCCTAATGCAGGCTTTCGGCATCAGCCTCCCCGCTCCAGCGCTGAGCCCATCTGGGGGGAGCTTAGCAACTGAGGAGCGGCTCCAGGCTAAGAGAGGGAGGCTGGGCTACCTCTGCCTGGTTGTTCTCCCAATTTCTCCAACCAGACAAGCCGCACTAGAGCTGTCACTCCAGTGTTGGAGGGGGCTGAGCATGGCCAGGAGTGTGACTCTAAAGGAAATGGAGGAATCCTCAGGAAGATGTAGTCGTCCTACAAATAGGGAGGAGGATCAAAGCTTTAGTTCCCCATCTTTGGGAATTAATTTGATATTTGTATTTCGTGTCTATAAAGATGTCAGCAGATGTGTAAATGAACTTGCTTTTGTTTATTCTGTCTCCATTTTTAGATTCTTGACTGTCAGAACACCACCTTCTTTGGTGGAGACTGCGTGTCCATGATCGATTACCTCTTCTGGCCCTGGTTTGAGCGTCTGGATGTGTATGGGATTGCAGAGTAAGACATTTGACCTTGCGACGTAAATTTGTGGGGCCACACTGAGTAACAATGGTTGCAAAGGCCTGTGTACCATTGAGCCCCCTGTGCACATGTCTCAGGATGTCCGTGAAATGAATCAGGTTTCTAAACCGCAGAATGCGCTTCCTTGTTCAAAATGCATCTGTGCTGTGCCACCACCAACTGCAAAAGCACACTTTGCCCGTATTTCTGCAGATGAGACCCTGTGTCCAGATGTCCAAAAGCCTCCCGTGGAGCTTCATCCACACACAGGCCGGTGCTGACGGCAGGTGGAGAGCCCAGGCATGGTGCACTGATGACCTGTCTGCAGCCCTCTTAGTGGCACTCCACCTGGCCCTGCGGGGTCATCTAGCAGGCACCACAGACCTTAGTCACGTCTTATTTCCCTGAGGAATTCTCCCTCAGATCGGAATACGCTTTTAGAAAAGATTTTAAAAATAACACGTGCTTGATGTGAAAACATACGAACAAACAAAATGGCAACCACACTCATGGAAGTGTAGAGAAGTTAAAGCAGAAAAATTAGCCAGGCAGGGTCCTGGGCAGAACATGTGCTCTGCTACCTGAAAGCTCAGAAGGGCAGTTGGAGGTGTGCTGGTGCCTGCTCTAATCCCAGCCGGACATTTCCGGTGTTTGGGAATCCAGTTCTCATGACCCACAATGCCCGGGCTTGAGCCCACCCAAGCGTCTTCTCGTGCTCTTCCCACTTTAGCCTTCTCTGAAGGAAGATCAGATATGGCATATTTGGATATTTGAAACTCTCAAGCATGAAAACAACAAAAACCTGTCTCCTCTGAAGACAGAGCATTGAGGCACAGGTTAGGAACCCCCCCGCCTTAGTCCTGGATTTCCCGTTGCCCTCTGGTATTTTCTTGAGCAGGTCGCTGTACACCCTAGACCTAAACTCCTGATCCATCTTGGAAAGGGCCCTGTCAGCACTGTTGTTTCAAGGTTTCATGATTGTTTTATTCATTAACAAAAAAAAAACATTTTGGAAACTCCTTGTCTTTATTTTTCTCAACCCCCCTAGAGTAAAATCTGAGGCTGACCCAAGAACGTCTGTTTCGGAGGGTTGTCTTTTTGTTGGTAAACAAGGAAGCACAGACGCATGATTTCCCCAGAGCACCAGTCCACGAGCATTTCACTGTATCATTAGAAGCAACAACAACTTCTACATGTTCAGCCATTCCAATAATAAGATTTTCCTCCAGCAAATGCTCATGTTCACTTAGTAATAAGATAACTTTATTCCCCAAATAAACCCATTTGTCATATCCTGTAAATCTGAAAAAGCAGCACGTGTCCCGCTCCCGATGCCTTCTGCTCATGGTGTGCTGACACTTCTCTCCTGTCTTGCAGCTGCGTGAGCCACACCCCAGGCCTCCGGCTCTGGATCGCGGCCATGAAGCAAGACCCCACCGTGCGTTGTCTTCTCACCGATAAGGGCATCTTCCAGGGCTACTTGAGTCTCTATTTTCGGAACAACCCTAATGCCTTTGACTTTGGGCTGTACTGAGCCCTCAGTCCCTCCACCGTCGTCATCCAGAATTCCCAAGCTTGTCATGATCCTACATCAGGGATTGCCTCGGGAATCAGTCCGTCTCTGTTCCTTTCCTTGAGGTGCCCAATAAAAGTGAAGACAGAAACTGTATTCTTTCTGATAATTATTTGTCTGAGTCCTCTGGCCTGGAGCTTCTAACGATTCTCTAGAGTCACTAGACAGTGCCCCGTGCTCGCGCCCAAGCACATTTTGGGAGGCTCCTTGGCCTTCAGCCCCGTTGACCTCCGGATTATTGACAATGAGATACTTATTAGCACTCTGGCGCTGATGCCGAGGCTCGGGGTCCTCCCGTGACTGACGTTTGTCACTGCAGACGGGTACCCTCCAAACACTTCCCCGGTGAGAGGGCTTGAGAAGAGGGAGAAAGGAGAAGAAAACACTCCAAACCCAAATACCTTCCATTTGGCAAATCGGCGCTGCGTCCACGTGGGCGTGCATAAGTATCGTTCTCTCCCAGGCTTTGGCCATGGGCCTGGGAGACACCGAGGGTCTTGTGACTGGAAAGAATTCCAAAGCAGGAAATGAAACACCCGTTTATCACCCTGGGCTAACTACGTCCGAATGTCACTGGTGCTGTCAGGGCTCAGGATGTCTCACAAAATGTTCTATAGCCGGCATCCTGCCTTGAAAAATAATACACGCCCCAAACCCAGTCACAGGCAAAGGTCACCCTGTTGATTTGCGTCACACACTTTCAAATCATCCCTACAAATGCCTCTGGTTGCCTGTTGTGTACCAAGGCCAGGGCCGTGTAGGGGATACTTTTGATAAGTACATGCGCCCTGCCCCCCACCCCCGCCCCATCTCTCCACTCATCTTGGTTGAGGTTTTAAACGCAGTACTTTGGAGCTGCTCATCTTGCAGAGGGAATGCTTGTCTCAGCTCGGCTGCCGCCCCTCCTGCCCCACTGAAGGCAGCAAAGAGCTGAGGATGGCCGGGCGCTGGCAGGTGCCTCAGCCTGGGCACTTCTCTCACCTGCCCTGTTGGAGAGGGACTGAGTCTGTCCCATGCCGTTCCATCTCAGTGTCTAGGGATTAGCCTGTGCTCATTTCAACTTTGCTCATGCTGGATCTTTTCCTGCCCTCCCAGCCATGCCGAAATGCCAGGCAGCAGCAAGAGCGATGTTTTGCCTTGTCTGTGCCCACCGAGGAGCTGTTGGCTGCCCCTTCCTCTGCCGCAACCCAAACCGGCCCTCTTCTCTCCCACGGCTCAGCCCAGCCCTGCCATCTGCTGGCTCTGGTCATATTTTGACCAACGTAAATAGTTACCAGGTGTTACTCCGTGCCAGCTGGACAGCCCGTTTGGTGAGGTGGCCTGGCCTTCCAGAAGAGGCGCCGCGTGACGGGAGCGGTCTGCCATACCATCTGCTCCGGATGTGGCGCCCTGTTGCCATGGTGCCCGAGTTAATGCAGAGTGAAGTCTGTGAATCACCATTTCCCTGGGATCTTTGCTCAGAAAGAGGAGAATCGTCTTCTGTGGCCTCTCATAGGACTTAGGGGACCCATCAGCCTTGGCAGGTGTAAATCCTTCATGCTAGCGAGTGCTTGGCATAAGACCAAAATTGCTCTCGGTGCAACCAAAAATGGCAAGTTTCTGGGTTGTCAAAACAAGAGTGTTCTCTTTGGGGGCTCCACATACTAATTTAGAAAGCTTGAAGACCAGAAAATACAGATTGGAGAAAAGCGCTCGTGAGGAAAGGGATTTGAATGCCCTTCATTTGGCCAGGTGCTCCCTGCAGTTTGCTGGGGTCCTGGTCACCCGCACTGCCTTACGCCTCCTCCTGCTCACTTCCCTATGTCACCCGCCTGACCCACAGAGAAACTAAGCATCAACCTTCGGGTGAAACCAGAAGGATTTAGCCTGGAGAAAAGAGGGAAAGACACAAATAAATAATGCTCCATGAAGAGCTTTTAAAATACGATTCTTTGATGGGAGGAGCACAAATAACACACATAAGTTAAAGAATGTAATTAAAAAATAGGAAATCTTTCATTATCCTATTGTCCCAGAGATAACCACTTTTTAACAATTGGTGTATATCTTATAAAAAGCGTTTTAAGCTTAAGGATTTAAGGTGAGAGCCACCCTCTATCTTCTGCAAATTGGGAAAAGAGAAAATTAGTTTAAACCACAGCATTTGAAAGACCTCACGGTCGTGGATGACGTTAACAGCCGAATGGATGACCAGCAGCGGGGGTGTGGAGTTCCCCTCCTTGGAAGTTCTGAACTAGAGCCCGGCCTGGGCTGAGTCCAGGTACGTCCTAGCAGGGCTGGTGGGGAAGGGGACCTGTGTGGCTGGGACAGCTGGCAGTGGTGGTGGGGATGGTGACTAAATGTTACTTGAAATTCCTTCCAGCTCTAAAATTCTCTGATCTTAGGCAATGGAAGTGACTGTGAGTGTTAATGTGGATTTAATCTAAGTTATAAGGTACAGGCTAGATCGTAGGCACAATCTACGAGCAAGATTCCCTTCAGTGCTGCAGGGACTTTCTGTGTGTGGCTCCCACCTTGCTCCTTGGAGCTTTGGCAGCGGTGGTGGTGGTGGGGTCTCTCCCTTGATTTCTCACCTCCAGGTCCCCTGGTCCACGTTTCCTTTGTCGGAGTTGTGGGCCTCATTGATGGAGGGGGACTGGGCTGGTCTGCACTGAGAACCAAGCTTGACTGCCCCATGCTTTCTATCAGCCCAGTCTAAAGTTTTCACAGATGGCGAAATATCCAGGCCAAGGGGGTTCTCGTCCATTAGCCTCCAGCCCCTTCTTTCTCCACACTGAGCACCGTGCCCACCCAGGAGATCCATTTCCCATCCATCTTCACTTCTGAGTGCCTGGAAGGCTGGGCATTGGGTCTTTTCAAACATTTTGCTCTTATCCTTGGCTCGTTGGAGCTCTTCAGCCTTCACAAATGCTATTTCCTCCACACACTATTCTTTCTCAGAGCAGCCTCCTGGTTTCTTCTAACCAGCTTTTTCTCTTACAACTGTGCTTTTTGTAAAGAGAGGTGGTGTACCATAATGGTTAAGAACAAGGCTTGGAGGTCAGATACACTGTGTTCAAATCCTGGCTCTGCCACTCATTAAGTTCCTTGGGTAAGTTGCTTGACCTCTATGAGCCTCAGTTTCTTATCTGTAAAATGGGACCACTGAGTACTGATTTCATAGAGTTATTGAATGATGGGATCATTCAGGTAAAGGCTTAATGCTCAGGGAGAGGCAGGCAACCCCATTATCTTGATGAGGCTCCTGCCAATGATCAGACTTGAACTCTGTGCTCATTTTACCACCACTTGGTAGAAATAGATGTCCTGCAATGCACATGGCTTGACTCATGGTCTGGAGTTATTTTCTGGTTGTTTCATGTGGGCAGGTTTGATCTCAGCGACCTGTGCGCCCTTGGAAGCTGGATTTTATCCCCCGATTCTTCCCTCGCACCCCAAGGCCTTGTATAATACTGTGCATTCTGAAATCTTGCATTGTTGTTGATGATGGTAAAATAAATACCCTCTGCCTTGTTTTGGAGGCGTACTCAGAATCTTGCTTCTCTCCCCTCTGTTAAAGAAAAAACTATTCAATGGTACTTGTTGAAGCATGGTAAGGAAGACTTTATCAGGACCACCACAGTAGGTACAGGGACCACTGCAATGAGATTTTGCAGTGGGGGAGAGAGATTGGGCTCCAGTCTGAACACAGCACGGGCAAGTGGGAATTTATAGCTAAGGAGCAGGGCGGGAGTCAGTGGGCAGAAAGTTACTAAGAGGAAGCCTCAGGGGTGAGGGGGGTTCTGGCTAACCTGACCTAACAGGATTCTGGCTGAAGGCAGCCAGGGTGGTCAGACATCACTGGGGGATGGTGGAGGATGAGGAACCGATCAGATAGTGAGGATGACCAGGTACTGAGGGTGGGGAGTTCTTGCCCGGCTGACTTAGCAGGGTTCTTTGCTGAAACTGGATTTTACGAAGAAGGGTACAGACGGGCCTAGGAGAGGTTCAGAAGCCTGACTAAAGTTTGGTTAAGCAGAGAATCTTTGTCACCTCTTGAAGTGGGCCATTTCCTTCCAAGGTTTAAGGTGTGAGGGATTTGAAATGCCTGCACCTGCCCAGTTACCAGGCAGTGCGGATGCTTAGCAGAACACAAAAGCGCCCCCTGCTGCATGGCTAGGATGATTGCACATGCGCCGCACCGGCAAGAACTGTGCGGTGCTCTGCCCTGTCGTTTCCTCCCAAAGATCCCCGGTGACCATGAGCTCTCGCAGACAGCAAGGGTGTCCAGCCCGCTTTGTGGTCAGCAGACGGCTTCCCTCCAGAGGGCGCAGTTGAACAGCAGCAGTCGGCTCCCCGCGGCGGCAGCAAACAGGAAAGAGCCATTTCCAGGGCTGTCCTGGGGCCGAGGCGGACAACGCAAGGGATGCGGAGGTCGGAGGCCGGCTCAGTGACCACGCTGCCCCGAGGGAGCCCTGAGCAGGCCATCCTCTCTCCCACTATCACAGGACGGGGGCCGGGAAGCGGGAGGCTGAATGTCTGTTAGCAGGAACAGCCTCTGATAAATCTGGGCATATTATTCGGGCAATGAGAGATTTTCTACTCAAAGGATGTGTGTGTGTGTTTACATGTTTCTGTGCATTTCTGCCTTAAGAGGAAGGTGTCAGGATGAATAATGAGGAACTGTATAAATGGCAAGGGCAGAAGGTATTTTAAAAATTTCGTTCTAAAATAAATGGTCATTGGCCATTTATTTGCTAAACAGAAAGGCCCTCTTTGGGGATTTTATCTGAGACTGTCCCAGATGATCTGATAGCAGCAGGGAGGTGGACAGGTGGGGGCTCAGAGACACCCCAGGTGCAGTAGCAGCAGGAGCCGCTAAACCTGGACATGAGGGGACGCGTTACCTGGGGCTCTGCTGAGGACACCCTGCAGGAAGCCCTAACCTAAAACTCGGGCTTCGAGTTGCAGGAGGGGTGGGGTGAGGGGGTAGAGTCAGAACAATAAGAAACCTTCAGTTTACTGAGTACTTATTATATGCCAGGTACTGTACATACACTGTTTCTACCTCCCAACCTTACAAGATCAGTATGAATTTTTCCCAGTTTACAGATGCA